CACAGTCCTTTTTAATTTTGAGAAAAACTATTTTTCCAATAACGAAAAAAATGACATACGCAGATAGAATTGGCGTTTTGTCAGCGTAGTTGATCACATCTGAATTTGGTAAGTTCATCCGGAGGCACAAATGCAAGTCATCACTGACTTATTATTATGAAAGTCTTGCATTATGCGAAATAAATTGAATCAGAAAAAGACTGTGACGTGACACAATATGCTTTATGCAAAAGAAAATTGATACTGTACTGTACAGTTTCTATATCACTAGAAGAAAAATCTTTCACTTTCTTTTTGTCTGCACGTCACGTTTTTCCCTCTCCCTTTCCTATGCAATTTCTTAGCATGAATTTAAATTCTGAACTCAACTAGTCCAGTTTGTCAGTTCACATTGGAATTCTGATCTCATCCAGTCTGGTTTAGAATTCTAACTTGAACTAGTTTAGTTAGGCAGCATTCGTATCACAACTAGTTGACGTTAGAATTCCAATCTCAATCAGTTGAAATTAGAACTCTATTCTCACCTAGGCGAATTCGGAATTCCTCTAGGTTCCAATCTCAACTCCGGCATATATAGGTTGACAGACTAGTTATTTTGCTTAGATGTCGTTTAGGTGTGATGAATAGAATATTCAGAAATGCCCCAGCGGAAATCAAGCTACATATCGGGCGTGCATCATGAGTGCTATAGACTATGGGTCAATTATTTACGACAGTTTGTTTACTTCGTTCTATTCTAGGCTAGCTTCTACGTACAGGCTAGCAGCACGTATGATTTTGTGGGATTTCCATTCTAACGGTGATGATCTTCTCCGTAAACTAAAGTTGTCAGACATTGTCTCCCGTAGACGCTACTTTCGCCTTCCTCACTTTTTTAAAGTGTTATTCGGCATCTCCCCTCTATCTAAATTTTGTATCATTTCCATGCGTCACACAAGAGCCAGTCTTCGACTAAATCAAAATCCTTTCTCTGTGATTGTTCCTTTTACATCAAAGAAGAGTGTACAGGGATCATTTTTCTATCTAACGACGGACGAGTGGAACATGCTTCCGCCGCACGGCGTTAGCAATCCTGATCCTGCTAACTCTTCGAATGTTATTGTTGTTTCTCTAAAACTCGCCTACGCGCTCATCTCCGTGACCAAATGTAATTGTTTTATTGTTCTGTTGGATGTTGTAAACAGTTCTTCTATTTTACTTGCTGTTTATTATACCTTTTTGTTTTTTTGTGCGTTCATATTTTTAAAGAGTTTTGGGAACAGTATTTACAAGCTGGGGTGGGGGCTTTCCCTGCTTTGATTTAAGCAAAATAAATAAAAAAACTGTAAAACTGTTGGCCAACATATTCGATTATTTATTTAAAATTTAAGTCACATATATCATAAAAAGCATATGAGTTCACGATCGAATCATCCCAGATCAAAAACAACGGACATTTAATACGACATAAATGGCCTATTAACACAATAGTTAACAACAGGGTTTCAACAGGCTTATAATTGTGACAAAATGTTCAGTTAATAGGCACCATTTATTGTCCTTCATCTAACCTTTAACGCAAAAACCAAGCAATTAATTGTGTGTTAGGAAGGGTCAGATTCAGATAACCCTTAAAAGGCATTTTATTATCCATTTTATGACCGTTAAATAAACAGACAAAAAGGGACATTTAATGTTTACCATTTAATTCACCCTTTTGTTTCGTTGACCTTCCTACTATATATCTCACGTTGTTTTCTCATAGAAAACGTAGACTTTTGTTCTTTCTCGACCATATGAGTCATCGAAACTCGTGTTGAAAAAATAGCTAGTGGCTCTAGGTATGGTGTCACCCATGTAATAAAAATCGCATAAAAATAGGCAATTAATCGTGAACAATCATACGATTAATCGTGCGCTTAGTCGCAATTAATTGACGATTTTTTTCTTGGTAATAAGTTCAAACCCATCTTAGGAAATACATATTGTTTTCTGTTTTTTCATTGTTTATTATGTATAATGACATGTACGTCACCCAGCAAGGGTCTTAGGACCAGTTGAAGTCGGAGCCTTTCTGACGAGTCAATTTTAGACATTGCCCAGATACCAGCTGTTCATTGGGCTCCTCGATTTAAAGTTCTGAGGGATCATAGAGAAGACTTGACAACTCCGATTTACTCTAAAATAGAAAGATGATCTAAATAGAAGTGTATTTCTCGTTGAAATCGTGTTTCTTATCTAGATACTTTATTGCAAAATAAAATGGTGAATAACAATAATCATTTAATCGCTTAAAATCAATAATTAATCGCAATTAATTGCCGATTTTTAAAAGAAAGAAAAATCATCGGCATCGACAACTAATTGCAATTAATCTGCGATTTTTTAAGAATCGCGATTAATTGTTAAAAATACCTAGGTTTCGTCGACATGGACAGTGATGGTATCAATCACATGTAGGCAACCGAAAATATCAAAAAATTTGAGAATTCATTTATTTAATGATAGTAGTCAGAAAGAAAGTAACTATGATCAACAGTCAGATCCTTGGCCATAAACAGCCAATAATTACGCAAAAATGATCATTAAGCGGTCACTATCAAATACTTGTTTCCAGCATATTTCTTGGCCCTTAAAAAAATGACGCTTTTGGACATTAATACGTTCCCAGTTATAATACTGACATATGGTGTTAACTAACTACAAAGTGTCACGTAAGATACATTTTTAGGCTATAGACATTCAATAGACAATAAATTACACAGTTTTCAACGTCCAGGGATCTGTTGAGGGTAGTAAGAATGATGAAATTCCTATCCTAGAGACCTGGCCATGCAAACGGATTAATATTAATACCGCAAAATATTGTGTTGTCATGATTCTTCCTGATGACCTCCATCGAAGACTTTTAGTATGAAGCGTTTAAATTTCTAGCGAACTGGAGCAGTCGTATTATCTCAAATGTTTGTACGTTGAATGCCATAACCGTGTGCATATTAGATAAAATAATGCTCTTATACACCCAAGTGTATCGTAGACGTTAACTAAAAAAGACTGCATGTTCTAAGTGAATGTTTCAAACTGTTGAAAAAACAAAAGAGAATGATTTTTTTTTTGTTCTTTATGTGAACAATAGTCGATAATGAAACGGTTGCGATGCTTTAAATGGTAGAGATTTATGGTATGGGGGTGACTGACAACAGTTTAAACATTTGAAGTAATCATAAACTGTCAAGGTGAAATGTACTCAAATAATTAGTCATGTTATATTTTTTACTAGATAAGAGGTATCATGCAAGATTTATTGTCTTTCAGAAGAAAATAAGAGCATTTTTTCCTGTACACCTTACTGTAACAAAACGTGCTGGACTCATGAATGTTTCATATTTTCTCTGACTTTTTGTTCATCAAAGAATAAAATAATTTTTGTTTTTAGCCATCATGGAAACGTTTATGATTGTGAAACAAACCATATTAGCTATTCATACTCTGTATGCTACAAGAAAAAAAGTGATAGTTAATAAGGCGCAATGCCAACGGTTAACAGAACGGCTTGAACTCTTTGTTTTGCCATTAGAACGTCTTAAAAAAGAAAAATCACCTCATCCAGACTTACAAAAGCTACTTTGTAGTTTTGAATTATTTGTTGAGGAATGTAAACAATTCATTCGTCTATTCAAAGAATCAAATTGGTTTAAAAAAGTATTTATAAATAATATATATAAGCAAGAATTTGAAGATTTAAATAATTGTTTGAGACAGTACGCTATTAACTTGGGTTTGGGATATAATATATTGAAAGCATTTGATAAAGAACAAGATGAGATAGATCAGGAAATAGATTTAAATGATATACATCAAAAACATTATGAAATTTTACGACTTATCAATGAACAATCACAAATTCAGGTGCAACATGAAACAATACGATCAGTACATCAAAAACATAATGAAAAATTGATTAATTCACAAAAAGGAATAATTTCAATAAAATCGTCTCTTGAACAGAGAATGCATCAACAGAAAAACAAGAAACAAGAATACTTCAATGATTTACATATACCCGATGATGAATTACAGCTGGTACAAAGTATTGGATCAGGTGCATTTAGTAAAGTTCATCTTGGAACATGGTCAAGTCGTTGTCAAACAGTTGCTATCAAAAAACTTCATCTTAGCGATATGGATAAACAGATGGAAACACAATTTACTAATGAAGTATCGACTTTGTGTCGTATTCGTTATGAACATGTTGTCAGCGTATTTGGAGCATGTATTAGACCTAATGCGTATGCAATCGTTGTCGAACATATGCCACTCGGTTCGTTATTCGATGTCTTAAGAAAGAAAGATCCAATTTTAACCAATCATTGGTCAATTCTCTCGCAAATTATCAAATCTATCAACTATTTACATATGTTACATCCACCGATTTTTCATCGGGATATTAAATCAACTAATTTTCTTTTGAAACGAAGTAACAAAGAAGATGGATATCTGGTGAAAGTATGTGATTTTGGTTTATCTGAAACGAGACGTGAAAGCACACGACAAACACATATGACTTGTGGTACACTACAATGGATGGCTCCAGAAATAATGAAAATGGAAAAGTATACAGAAAAAAGTGATGTTTATAGTTTGGGAACGGTTCTATGGGAGTTAGTGACGAATAAAATTCCATATAATGAAGTAGAAGAAAGTACGATACGTTCAACCGTATTAGCTGGTGAAAGATTAGAAATACCTTTTCATGTACCAGAAGAACTTCGACAAATTATCTTGAGATGTTGGTCACATAATCCTCGCGATCGACCTTCATGCTACGATTTATTGCTCACTGTTAATCTAGCAAAGCAGCAATCTTTTTTCCCGGTAAGATGTTGCATTTTGAGTCAGAATATTGGGCGTGTCAGATCCTCTCTTTGTTCACCTTGTTTGTAAATGTTCATTAGAGAAAATGTACGACTGTCCTATCCGTGATCACATATAGAATTTTATCTACGCATAACTTACTTTATTTTCGATACGCGTTGTTGAACACAACATTAGAGAATCGAATCTCAACTTTACTAAAAAAATATGTGGATAGAGCAGGAAGGATAGAGCAAAACAAAAAGATGAATAAGTATTTGGTCTAGAAATTCCTGGGCAAATTTTCACTTTTCAGAAAATCGCCGAGGATTTTCTAGTTTATAGAAAATCAAAATCGAATTTCCAGATTCTTGGAAATTATTTATGCAAATTCGATTGATTTTCTGTAAACTGGAAAATCAACATTTCCTAGATAGCTGGAAATTCGTGGAGGAAGTTCTATATACTAGAAAATCTCCGGCGATTTTTCTATAAACTGAAATTGAATTCAAGATTACAGTATAGAAATGAGCAACAAGAGTAGCACAAGAGGAAGATGACATATAAAAATCTTTTCAATTATCTAATTATTAATTATCTACGCGTAAATACGGAAAAAAGTTCATAAATTTTCCCAATCCGTGATCTTCTCACAAAATGAAGTCAAAAGTTCTGATCATATTTTCAACCGAGAAAGAATGTTGAAAAATAAAATCGGTGTATTTTGGTTACACCAAAATCAAAATCCAAGGTTTTATGCAAGTGTTTTATCATTTTTTTTATATCTCAAGAAAAAACCAGTGACAGAAAAACAATGCCGATTTGAGGTATCCTGGATAACATTTTGGATTCCATCAGAACTTGTATTTCCGCATATGTCAACAAGATGAAAAAACAGCGGAAGGTATCCTTCTATTCTATATCATAAGCTTGAATAAATTTTGTTTTACAACCGCTTTTTCGTTACAGAAAAGCTCAATCCTTGGAACCTTGAACTGCCCCTTAATGTGCGCGCAATTCTTGAGAATGCATTTCTGCCACTTTTCTTTCAACACAGTTGAGAACATATACGTCAGAAGTCAGCGAAATAATTCAATAATTCGTTCATCCATCCACTTACTAAATCGTCGTCCTGACGCTTAACTAGAGAAAAGACAAATTCATTGTCGCAATTTGTTTGTGAGTCACACGAGTTTAGTGCGGTTAAAGAATGAAAGTGATTTCGATATTTTAAACTCGAAAAGGGCTAGTTCAAGTTTCCAAGGTTTGAGCTTTTCTGTAGCGAAAAAGCGGTTGTAAAACAAAATTTATTCAGTTCAAACAAGCGCCCAAGGGTAAAAAAAATTGACAAAAAAAAGTTAAATGTTTCAAAACCAACGCTTTTATTTGTCGTTTAAAAGCTTTTGTCCCTTATCTATTAGTTTGAAAGGGAGTTTTTCGGAATTTCGCAACAAGTTACTTTTGCGTTTTCAAACATTCTAAAACGCATTTTTTGATCGTTAAAAACGGAATAAAAACGCGTGAGAACAGAAAATTTTGGTAAAGCCAAAGGTGAGACTTGGCTACTCAGAAGGGCTTGATCTAAAAATAGTTGAACGTCTATAATAAAGGAAGTACAAAACTTACGTGACACGATATTACCGCGAGACAATACCGCGAGCGACATTACCGCGAACGACATTACCGCGAACGACATTACCGCGAACGACATTACCGCGAACGACACTACCGCGAACGACATTACCGCGAATACAAAAAACGACGTTACCGCGAATACAAAAAACGACATTACAGTGAACGACGTTACCGCGAAGACTCGTTTATTGAAAAAGAAGAATAAATGAGCCTGGTTTT